GCAACAGAGGGTGAGGCCGGGTGGGACTGTTGACGCAGTTTGCTCTTGGTGCAGTCAAGGCACGTGGGAGCGGGGGAGTCTGGTGGTGGAGGAAGTGAGGCTGGCAGGCCGAGTAGAAGTTTCTTGGAGGCCATGTCAGCAAGTGTGCGGAAGTTTGGGTGCCCGAGCCGATGGTGGTAGAGTATGGTCGGGTTGGAGAAACTGCGGCACGAGCATGGTGAGGTAGTCGCCGCTGTTTGGGTGGTTGACACCTGTGGGATGGGTACTTGCAGCATGTAAAGGCCGCTGCTGTTGAGGGTGAAACGAGTCAAGACCTTGTTGGTGAGTGGGTCGAGGATATCACCATAGTTCTCGTTCTCCCAGAAGATGGTGCGTAGTCCAGCTTCCTGAATTTCCGTTTGGGCCACGAGATTGTGGCGGAGTGAAGGCACGCACATTCCAGTGACAGTGCCGGAAGGGAAGGCGGGGCACGGGACTGTGGATGAACCCTTGGCATGAGTGGTGAAGCTTGAGTCAGCTCCTAGGAGAGGGATGGGTGTTGCATAGGGTTTGAAGGAGAGTGTCTCCTTGAGTACAGTGTGTGTGGCCCCGCTGTCGAGTGTGAACTCTACGTATTGTGGTGCTTGTGATGAGCCGAGGTACTGGGAGGAAGCTTCATTAATCATGGCAGTGCCAGGGAACAACAGGTTGATACGGGCATCAGCAGGAGCACTATCACTAGCACTAGCCGAAGCGGGGTCCTGGACCTCAACCAGGTTGGCCTTACGCGCACGCATCCAGTTCGGTGGCCTCTTGTCTATGCCGTGGATGGCGTACCATTCGTCGTCCTTCTTCTTGAAGCACATAGCGAGGGGGTGGTTAGTGCCACCACACACTTGTCCCTTGCGGTTGCCATACTTGACGACGTAGGTGCACGGTGGGAAGCGGTTGCGCTGGAGGGGCGCCGAGGCAAGGGCCGATGCGACACTGGCTTGAGGCATGGGAGCACGGATGGCGTAAGCCTTGGCCTGAGCCGTGGAGTCTTTCTCGGCAGAGAGGAGTGCGGTGGAGACCTTGGCAAAAGTGAGGTCTTCCGCAGTCAGCGTGAGGAGCATCTTCCTTGTGATTTCATAGGTTGTGGTGAGACCAACGAGAAGAGCTGCTGCAGGGGCCTGTTCGGGGAAGACTATACCCAGCTCCTTGAGTTCGCCATGAATGGTCTGAACCTTGGCAATGTAGTCGGCCATTCCCGAGCAATCCTCAAGGCAGACCTGGAACATGCTGGGGATGAGGATGGCAACTCCGACTGCAGTCTTGTTCATGAACCGATCCTGGAGATACTTCCAGATGGCGTTGGAGGTAGGGTAGTTATGGAACGTGTTGACAAGTTCTGGAGGGGTGGAGGCGATTAAGACGCTGATAATTGCAGCATCGGCCTTCTCCCACTTCCGGTACTTCTCAACGGCTTCCTCATATGCCTTTGTGTCAGCCTCACTAGCAGATTCGGTCGGCTCGCGAGGGAGAAGGGGCTGTTTTCCCTTGCCACGGTTGAGGAGGACATCCTTGAGGTCCAATCCCTGCACGTCACGGCTCAGCAGGTGCTTGTCAACCCCATAGCTCCATGCCTTGAAGTTGGAGCTAGAGCCATCGGCGTCAAGACGGAGTGGGGTGATGGGGTTGGCCATGGTGGACGAGGCGAATGCCATGATGGAGACCCCTTAGGGTGTCGCGCGGAGCGCCGCTCTTGAGTCAACGATAGGAACTTGAGGTTTGGGGTTTCCGAAGGAGATTTTGAAGAACCGGAGGTTTAGGGTTTACGAAAGAGAATTTTGAGGTTTAGGGTTTCTGAAGGAGAATTCGACTGAAACGCCAATTTCGTGTCAACTACCTACTAATCCTATTCCCACACACCCCCCCACACACCACCCTCAGCTTCTCGGCTGCGCTGCTGCTCGGCTTCGCGGCTACACGGCTGCTCGGCTTCGCGGCTACGCTGCTGCTCGGCTGCGCTGCTGCACCTGTTCAGCTGCGGGAAAGGGAGGGGGATGGGGGTAGGAGTGCAGATGCGGAGCGACGGGCGGCAGCCCGAAGGTGAAGCTGCAGGGCGACGGGCGGCGGCCCGACGAGAAGCTGCAGGGCGACGGGCGGCGGCCCGACGAGAAGCTGCAGGGCGACGGGCGACAGCCCGACGAGGAGAAGGAATGACGCGATGATGTTCGACGAAAACGAGCGATAGGTTAAAACGCCGACGATGCGCTTACCAGTGAGATAGTAGATGCCGTCGAGAGTGACGGGAAAGTGGTGCGGAAGAATTTCCGCCCACGAATGTTGCGAATCAACGGCGACGAGATTGAAGGCGGTTACGCCGAGGTTTGCGGGACGAACATCCGCAGAGATAAGAGGATCACGATCCGCGTGTGCGGTTTGAAAGGCTCTGATACCATCTTAGAACTTAGGCTTAGAAGCGATGCATTAGTAATGAGCTTGAAGCTCTTTAAATACATCCAAGAAGGGGAGGGAATGGATGGGGAAGGGAATCGGGGGCAATCCTAGGGATTAGGGGTAATCCCAAGGCAATCTCCAATTGGTGGGTTGGAGATTGCTTGGAGATTACATTTGGGTTTGGTTGGGATGTAGGTGTACACCCAACCAAACACAATGTGCAAACTACACTACTCTAGGATATAGAAAATACAAAGTACAAAGTGTGAGATTGAAGGCTAACACTAACAGAAGGGTGGACGAGAGGAAGGGTGGATGAGAGGGAGGGCGGATGAGGGGGAGGGCGGAAGAATGGGAGGGAGGACAAGAGGAAGGGAGGACGAGAGGAAGGGCGGATGAGAGGGAGAGAGGATGAGAAGGAGAGAGGATGAGAGAGAAGGGCGGATGAGAGGAAGGGCGGATGAGAGGAAGGGAGGATGAGAGGAAAGGAGGATGAGAAGAAGGGAGGATGAGAGGAAGGGCGGATAAGAGGAAGGGAGGATGAGAGGAAGGGCGGATGAGAGGGAGAGAGGATGAGAGGGAGAGAGGATTAGAGAAGGAGGATGAGAGGAAGGTAGGATGAGAGGAAAGGAGGATGAGAGGAAGAGCGGATTAGAGGAAGGGAGGATGAGAGGATGGGTGGATGAGAAAAAGGGCGGATGAGAGGAAGGGCGGAAGAAGGGGAGGGAGGACGAGAGGAAGGGAGGACGTGAGGAAGGGCGGATGAGAGGGCGAGAGGATGAGAGAAGGCCGGATGAGAGGAAGGGAGGATGTGAGAAAGGGAGGATGCGAGGAAGGGCAGATTTGAGGAAGGGAGGATGAGAGGAAGGGATGATGAGATGAGGGGAGGATGAGAGGAAGGGCGGTTGAGGGAAATGAGGGCGACGGGAAGGGAAATGAGGGCGACGGGAAGGGAAATGAGGGCGACGGGAAGGGAAATGAGGGCGACGGGAAGGGAAATGAGTGCGACGGGAAGGGAAATAAGTGCGACGGGTAGGGAAATGAGGGCGACGAGAAGGGAAACGAGGGCGACGGGAAGGGAAACGAGGGCGACGGGAGGGGAAACGAGGGCGACGGGAAGGGAAATGAGGGCGACGGGAAGGAAAATGAGGGCGACGGGAAGGGAAATGAGGGCGACGGGAATGGAATTGAGGGCGACGGGAAGGGAAATGAGGGCGACGGGAAGGTAATTGTGGGCGACGGGAAGGGAAATGTGGGCGACGGGAAGGGAAATGTGGGCGACGGGAAGGGGAGGGCGACGGGAGGGGAAACGAGGGCGACGGGAAGGGAAATGAGGGCGACGGGAGGGGAAACGAGGGCGACGGGAAGATCAAATGAGGGCGACGGGAAGATCAAATGAGGGCGACGGGAAGATCAAATGAGGGCGAAGGGAAGCTGAAATGAGGGCGACGGGTTGCTGAAATGAGGGCGACGGGAAGCTGTAATGAGGGCGACGGGAAGCTGAAATGAGGGCGACGGGAAGCTTCTCACCATGCGATATGTGAAAGGCAGGCGCGAGCAAACGGCGGGGAGGGGACTTCCCGGGCAGGGCGGGAGGCCAGATGCTGAGAGCGCCTCTAGCGCGTGGGAGTCTAATCGGCACCGACTGGCGGCGTAAGAAGGCTACGCATTGCAAACGATGGCTACTTCCGCCCTGTGACCTATGGGTTGCGGGCGTTGTCGAGTGCCCGTGTTTTAGCCTATACTTTTAGAGTACAGAATAAATCGCCAGGGCAGGCCTCGATGTGTCTCGCTAACTCACGTGCGCACTGGCATTTAGTAACGTCATTGCTATCCTCACCCTAAACATCGCACTTTGCCGGTACAGTCCACACGGACATTCGCTCCCAACGGCTCTTCCGCGTATTTCTAGAATCTAAGGTCGCGCCCTGCTGAAGGGGACTAAGCTACTAATATGCTTGTTCGAGTGCATGTTTGTCTACTCAAACCGTGCACAGTTTCCCTGGCATGCATGTTGCTTCTCAGGTTTGTTGCTACTCAAACCATGCCTGCTTTTTACAACCAATCAGCAAGTCAACATGTTTGTGGCGAACTATTATCAGTCGCAAGCTGTTTTTCAGGCTTCGCCTGTCACTCAACCCATCCGAACCTCCAACTGGCAGCCCGCCGAACCTAGAAATACTCAGTTGACTTCCGTTGAGTAATTCAGGTCTTGGGCTTTAAAGTGTTCGCCGAACAGTGTTTGAGGTTCGCCCGAACACGTTCGTGTTCGGGCCTCTGCTGCAATTTGCCCTGCGACGAACACGAACGTGTTCGAGGTTCGCCCGAACACGCCTTCACAGGCAAACGGCGAACATCTGTTTTTGCTAAAGGTGTTCGCCGAACCAAACAGTGTTCGGTTCGGCAAACGGCTGTGTTCGTGTAGGGGCGAACACGAACACGTTCGTGTTCGCCCCTTGCTCACCCCTAAGTGTAAGGGAGGGTGTGGGTGTAAAGGGGTTATGAGTGTATGTACGTTGCCTTCTTCCTCTCCCCCTCTCCACCCTCCCCCTTTCTTCCTCCCTTCCGAAACCCACCAGTGAGCTCAACGAGAGTGGCACGGTGTGTCCAGGAGCAGGCCAGCCGTGCGTGGTAAAGCAGACCCCCTCCTCCCAGTTCTGCATCAACTGCCCCGACTTCTGCTCCTCCTGCTCCAACAGCCCTGCCCCTTCCCCTGGCTCTCCTGCTGCTAGCCCCTCCCCTCCTCCTCCTCTTCCTCCTCCTGCCAATAACACTCCTCCTCCTGCCAATAACACTCCTCCTCCTGCCAATAACACTTCTTCCTCGTCCTCGTCCGGCCTGCCTCTGGGGGCTATCATTGGCATTGCTGTCGGCGGCGTACTCGTTATTGTCCTCCTCGTTATTGGCCTGTTTCTGCTGTGGAAAAGAAGGTCCAAACCCCAAGGTGAAGTACGGATAACCCTATTGATGTCTATTTCTCCCTCCACCCACCCTTGTTTCTGGATTAAATTGCGTGTGTTCGTCTTGCTTCCTCTCTATTAGCATCGCCTTGTATCTTGCTTCCTCTCTCTCTCCATAATGTTCCTCTCTTTATCAACAGCTCCAAGGCACGTCGCCTCCGTGTTGTGTTGTTGTATCCGTCACATGCTGCTGCTTTACATCCGCTTTTGAGGGGCCTCAAATATTGTATCCGTCACAAGCTGCTGGTTTACATCCGGCTTGCGTGCTCTGCTCCCATCCCGTCCATGAGCAACCGACATGGTGACAGAAGGCTGCCGGTTATCAGTCGTACCGAGCCAGGCGCTCATGTGGCAGCGCTACTCCTTGCCCGGTCACTCTTCCACCTTGTGTTCCCATCCCATCCCATCCCATCCCATCCCATCCCATCCCATCCCATCCCATCCCATCCCATCCCATCCCATCCCATCCCATCCCATCCCATCCCATCCCATCCCATCCCATCCCATCCCAATCCATCCCATCCCATCCCATCCCATCCCATCCATCCCATCCCATCCCATCCCATCCCATCCCATCCCATCCCATCCCATCCCATCCCATCCCATCCCATCCCATCCCATCCCATCCCATCCCATCCCATCCCATCCCATCCCATCCCATCCCAATCCATCCCATCCCATCCCATCCCAATCCATCCCCATCCCATCCCATCCCATCCCATCCCATCCCATCCCATCCCATCCCATCCCATCCCATCCCATCCCATCCCATCCCATCCCATCCCATCCCATCCCATCCCATCCCAATCCATCCCCATCCCATCCCAATCCATCCCCATCCCATCCCAATCCATTCCCATCCCATCCCAATCCATCCCATCCCATCCCAATCCATCCCCATCCCATCCCAATCCATTCCCATCCCATCCCAATCCATCCCCATCCCATCCCAATCCATCCCCATCCCATCCCAATCCATCCCCATCCCATCCCAATCCATCCCCATCCCATCCCAATCCATCCCCATCCCATCCCAATCCATCCCCATCCCATCCCATCCCATCCCATCCCATCCCATCCCATCCCATCCCATCCCATCCCATCCCATCCCATCCCATCCCATCCCATCCCATCCCACCCCTTGCCACACTCCAGCAGGCCGGGAGGAGGAGGCCGATGAAACACAAGCAACCGACGTGGCAACCCAAGGCAGCGCCCTGTCAGTCGTGCTGAGCCAGGCGCTCATGTGCCAGCGCTACTCCTTTGCCACTGTGGCCAAGGCCAGCGCTACTCCTTTGCCACTGTGGCCAAGGCACAGTGCCTAATCCTTTGCCACTGTGGCCAAGGCACAGTGCCTAATCCTTTGCCACTGTGGCCAAGGCACAGTGCCTACTCCTTTGCCACTGTGGCCAAGGCACAGTGCCTAATCCTTTGCCACTGTGGCCAAGGCACAGTGCCTAATCCTTTGCCACTGTGGCCAAGGCACAGTGCCTAATCCTTTGCCACTGTGGCCAAGGCACAGTGCCTAATCCTTTGCCACTGTGGCCAAGGCCAGCGCTACTCCTTTGCCACTGTGGCCAAGGCACAGTGCCTAATCCTTTGCCACTGTGGCCAAGGCCAGCGCTACTCCTTTGCCACTGTGGCCAAGGCACAGTGCCTAATCCTTCCAGCTAGTGTTCCCATCCCACCCGCCCCATTCCACCATCCACCAGGCCGGGAAGAGCAACCCAATGAAACACAAGTGAGCGGTGAACCCACAGAAGGCAGCGACTTGTCAGTCGTGCCGAGCCAGGCGCTCATGTGTCAGCGCTACTCCTTTGCCACTGTGGCGAAGGCGACAAACGATTGGGCCGAGGCGAACCACATTGGATCGGGCGGGTATGGCGAGGTGTATCGTGGAGTGTCTCCTGTGGACCCTTCGGTTGTGTGGGCTGTGAAGCGCGCCAAGATACTCACGAATGATTTCAAGCGAGAGGTGCCTGTGTGGTGTGGTGCTGGTGTGGCGTGGTGTGGTGTGGTTTGGGTGGGGTATGAAGCGGTTGAGTGTGCTGGTGTTGGATGTGATGGGTGTATTGGGGAGTGTCTCCTGTGGACCCCTCCGTGGTGTGGGCTGTGAAGCGGGCCAAGATATTGACAAACGACTTCAAACAAGAGGTGTGTGTGGAAAATGTGAAAAGGCGAGGTAAGACACGAATGTAACTCAAACGAGAGTTACATTCGTAATACATTTTTTCTTTTTCCATTACCATGCAGATGGAGGAGATGGTATGGAATTGTCCCATCTTTAGCACAAATTCGTCACCCACCACCACGTTTTTCCTTCATTTCTGTTCTGTGCAGGTGGAGGAGATGGCATCAAAGAGCCATCCGCACTTGGTGCGGCTGTTGGGGTACTGTGTGGACATGGATATGACAACAGAGCACCACGAGCAGATTGTCATTTATGAGTTCTGCGCCAATGGAGACCTCGAGAAGTACCTCAGTGGCGGTGAGAGAAGTACCTCAGTGGCGGTGAGAGAAGTACCTCAGTGGCGGTGAGAGAAGTACCTCAGTGGCGGTGAGAGAAGTACCTCAGTGGCGGTGAGAGAAGTACCTCAGTGGCGGTGAGAGAAGTACCTCAGTGGCGGTGAGAGAAGTACCTCAGTGGCGGTGAGAGAAGTACCTCAGTGGCGGTGAGAGAAGTACCTCAGTGGCGGTGAGAGAAGTACCTCAGTGGCGGTGAGAGAAGTACCTCAGTGGCGGTGAGAGAAGTACCTCAGTGGCGGTGAGAAATGTGCTTAGGTTAATTGAAATCGTAACCCTCTACATCAAACACTGGACCTTTGGTTAGAGCTACTCATTTTTTTTTCCTGTTTTGCTCAGCTACTTCCCCATATGTCAGATTGTTATATTCTAACCAAATATGTTCCTCCCATGGTCCTTATGATGTTCATTTTATCACCCTTCTCATGTACTTACCATTCTTTACTGCAGGGCCCAAAAAGGGCACGTTGACGCTGCAGCAGCGCATGGACGTGCTAGTGGGGGTGGCGCGGGGGTTGGAGTACCTCCACCAGTTTGACATCGTGCATCGAGACATCAAGCCCGCCAACGTGCTGCTCGATGCCCGCATGCAGGTAAGAGTAATATGTATGGACGAATTAGAGACCTTTGGCTTTGATACCTGTTGTTGGCCAGCTTTCTACTGACTCGGTTAATTCCTGAACCCTAAACCAACGATATCCCCCCCCTTCACTACAGTCATCTTCTCCTCGTTTGGGCCTCGTTAAAATACTTGGGTGTTAGTAGACCTGCATTGTGGATCCCCGATTAATCCTAGGGGGGTTTACAGGTGCGTTCGTCTGGGAGGCTATGTGCGCACTGACCCATTACACAAACAAACCCTTTTATCCCGGTGTAGGCACATGCAGGTCGTTGCCACTATGCCGAGTTCTGGGTTTCCCAGTGTGGATCCCCGATTGATTCCAAGGCGGATTTACAGGCGCGTTCGCCGAGTGGTTAAATGACGCTCACTTGACGCACACTGGGACTCGAACCCGAGACCTTTGGTTTTGATTTATTGTGTGCTGCGTGACAAGGGTGTGCATGATTTTAGCATCTCCCTTTCCATTGCTTCCATGATCTATCAGCGATCTCCCATCCCTCTTACTCTCCGACCTCCCACACCCGAGAGTGTCGGAGTTTGGGCTGGTGCGCATGAAGACGGAGTCACATCTGTCAGTATTCCACCCTCCTTTCCTCCTTCCCAACCTTCACCAGCCAAAGATATCCGATTTCGGGCTGGTGCGCATGACAGAAGGCACCACAGTGAATCCCACCCGAGTGGTCGGCACTCCGGGCTATGTGGACCCCGCTTACTCGCGCACCAACAAGGCCACCCCCATGGCTGACGTGCACAGGTAGGAGCAGACAGGCTGAAAGGACAAAGCACATTAACAAGGCCAACCCCCATGAATGACATGCACAGCTGCACTGGCCTGAATCAGGGCTGCTTGCATGGCCGACGTGCACAGGTGGGTGGGCAGTTGTTTACCGGGACAGGGAATCAAGGCCACCCCTTTTCTAGATGGCCGATATGCAGGGGGTTTGGTAAGTAATTTCTGGACGACCAATCGGAAACATGGATTTTGCAAGGTCTTTTTGAAATCCCTCAAACCCAACATGCATGCACGGGTGTTTCCGTAAGTTAGCTCCATCAATGATTTTTCACGCTAAACCCAATGAGCATTTGTCATCCCAAGTTCATCAAGCTTTTCCATGAGTATACTCTTCTGGCATGTTCTTATGTTGAATCGTTGAACCCCCCCGTTTCTCCATCCAGCTTTGGCGTGTTGATGCTAGAGGTCATGCTGACGAGGCCTGCTGTGGTGGAAGAGAAGGGCGTCAACACCAGCATCAAAGACTGGGTGAGCACAGCACAGCACAGCACAGCACAGCACAGGACATTGCAGTACAGTGCAATTGAGAAAACACTGCATGGTTTTTTTTTTTTTTTTCCAGTATATCTTGTAGTGTGTACAATGTTTTCATGAGCATCTGATGCACCTTTTTGTGTGAAGGATACACCTCTTGCTTACCACAGTACTTGCACACATTTCATCCACCCTCTACCTAGCAATCACAAACCTGCCGTAAATCTTTCTCTCTTCATCTTTTTTCTTTACAGGCTGCCCGCCGCGTGCAAGATCGAGATGCCCAAGGCCTCAAGGACCCTCATCTCGACAGCATTCCTAACGAGCTTCTTATGCAGGTAGTGGACCTCACATAGTTTGTGGTTGCATTCTTTCTCCCGTGTTTCGTTTTGTTTTGTTTTGTTTTGTTTTGTTTTGTTTTTTTTTGTTTGTTTGTTTTTTTTTTTTTTTTTTTTTTTTACCCCGGGCACCTGGCTTTTTGGGTGGAATGGGTTGTCTGTTGGAATTTACTAAGCAAGCGCTCCTATTGAGCTGCTTTTGCAGGTTGTGGAGCTCGCGCTGCAATGCACCGGCATGCCTGCGTCCTCGCGCCCTCACATGCGAGATGTCGCCGCGCGATTGGACGCACTGTCACGCGAGTTTCTGCAGAAACCGACATCGAAGGCGGATTTGCGTCTGGAGAGCATTGACCAGGAGGTGGCAATGCGGCAGCCGGAGCAGAGTTTGGATGATGAGTTTCTGCGCATTGATGTGATCTCCGGTGCATGTGATTGATATGTACCAGGCCCCCTGACTCTACTATGATTACAGTGATTCAGCGTATTCTTTCTTTATCATTCATGTTCTTGAAATGAGAATAAGCTTGTATATGTATGTAGCACACATTTGCCCACAATTGAAGGGGCGTAGTATGATATTGGTCAGTGACTACCTGGGTAGGGATAAAGAACCATGTGTTGACTCTTAGCGTGTTCTGGAAAAATTGTAACGGATGATGAAGCATTCATGAACTGTGCGAGATGAGCGGATGGATGGTTGTACGGATTTACAGAATCCTTACTGAGGCACTCGTTAGCGAGGCCATCCCGAGGGTCACGCGACGAACCTGTCCTTCCTATTTCGTCGCACCGAACCACCCCCGAATCGCCTCCGCACCAATCGCATCCATCACCGAGCCATCCTCGCCCAACCTCCCCGCCTTGCTAGGACTTCCCCTATTTAGGCCTCGTCACTTCCATTGTATCGTAATTCAGTAATTCAGTAATCAGTCATTCTCGTTATTCGTTTTACTGCGCACTCTGCAAGTTCATTCATAACAATGGTCTGTCGCTAGCAACAGGTCATCCAATCACGGACCTCGGAATATCGCGAAGCCTGACTCCCCCTCGCGCGACCGAGCGTGACAGACTGACAGATCCGACATGATCGCGACTCGCGCAAGCCGTACATGATCATCCCCCATCCCATTCCAAAGCGACGCTATGCATTCTAGAACGGTTTCGGTGATCCACCGCTCAGAACCGCCACCCACCAGTCTGAACAGAGATAGGTCTGCTGGTAAAATAGAAGCTCCATGTATGATAGAAGCTGCTGCTTATCATAAGCAATGATTGCCTCCTCGGCTAGACTTTCGGTATCTTCAATAGCTGACTTGGTCTGGAATTTGAACGCATATCTGTAGCTTCTGGTATACTAGGGCCTCGCGCGGACTCTGAGTCCGCAGTCGCAGCGTGCCAGTCGTAGACGGAGCCTTCGTTACAAGGCCTCGCGCTGACTCCGTGTCAGATCGCAGCGCGCCAGCACTACTAAGAAGGCAACATGGACGAAGCGTCGCCTAGAAAAGCGCGTTCGCAGAATGTGTTACAGCTTAGCAACGGAGATTTTAGCAGCGCGTCTAGACTGAGGCAGCAGCAGCAGCAGCGGTTGAGTCAGGCATCCGACGCGGCTTGTCGCCATGACCGGCAGGAACCAGTAACCAGTTCGCAGAATGTGCTATTTTGTAGTACTAATGCCAATGTTAGCAGCGCATACAGGTCGACGCTGCAGCAGCAACGGTTAAATGAGCCATCCGACGCGGCTTGTCGCCATGATTGCGAGAAATCAGTAGTAATTGTGGAACGCGAAAGTCACGAACGTCGCGACGCCGGTATCTTCAAGAATCGCGAGTTTCGGCGCAGGCGACGGCAATCCCGAGGTTCATTATCGCGTGCGACTTCTGAGTCGTCGGCTCAGGAGTCTTTCTGCCAAGGCAGAGCACGGCGCTGCGACTCGGAGGCTTCGATGTTAGCGCGTGTCCCACTGCTCCTGCCGCTTCTTGTCTGCTCGAACTTTCTATGTTACTCGCCAGTCTCCGCAGCCGTTCTCGTGGAGCAATATCAAGGTCTGTGCTTGTATCACGTGTGTGTGTGTGTGCTTTTATCGACTGTGATAATCTCACGTCTGCCCTCAAAGAAAGGGCTTGTGAAGCCATTCTGAACTTACGCTCAGTACATGACGGCTAGAGGACCAACCATACGTGAATCCCCCGACGCTAGTGACGCCCAAGCCCAATGGCAGCAGGTTT